GCTATGAGACTGTATGAGATCCATCAGAGAGATAATGGCAATGCACCACAGAACATTCCAAATATACTAATCTATTGGTACTAACCTTGGTATTCTTTGCGTAAACAAATAAATAAATAAAGTAAAAGAGAAAAACGTAGTTAAAACACACTCAACAGTAAAGAAGACAGAATAAGTGGATATAATGAGTCAGCACTATCCCTGAGGCATTCTGTTATTTTGAATGTTTATATTTGAAGAGCTTGGCTTGCAGTGATCTATGACGACCACTGGATGGAAGTATTGTCAAATCTCTGGCACACTCACAGAGGGCGAGGTGGCAGCGGACAACAGGGGAAGGATTCCTCCACAGGCGATGATGATGTTATCCACCATTTGTGAGATCAGGTGAATGGTGTTGTGTACAAAGATTATGTTCTCATTGCTGTTGACAAAGTCCATGATGGATTTTGTCGAATGACTGTGAGGGGCAAGAGTAGGAGGAGGGTGAAAAAGAGAAAAAGATTTACATTGCAATAACAGTACATTTTTGTTGTTATAGAATTATGACTCCATCAGAGTAGACGGCATCATTTTTTGACATGCACAACAAAAAAAACCCCGCTCGTGATAGAATTACAGTCCGTAATTCTACAGTACAAAAAACACCAGAAAACACAGTCTTTGAAAATTAGATTGCACTAGGACCGCGTTTTTGTTTGCATCAAATTAAATATGGCATCTACTCCACAACCGGAGTAAACTGTAGCCACTGACCTTCTCCAGATGTGTACGTCTGCTTCTAGAGCAAAGAGCAGATCTGTAAGTAAGCGCTGGTGCATTGGGGACCACTTGAACTCTGGGATACGGAACATGGTGGTGCGGGGACCAGGACTGAACTGTCGACACTGCTCTTCTGTCATCGGCATGCCTCTGAAACCCAGATCTACTCGCTGATCTCTATCCAGATGACTACCAGAACGGCCATGCAAACTCTGAAAGCAAACAAATGTTTTTAAAAGCCAAAGCTGATGCATTTAAAACACAAGGCACCTTAGAATATGTATAGTTTTTGACAGGTGTAGTAAAGAAGCGTTTGTGTAAAATGTGCAGTTCTTTTCCATGGCATGGAGGACAGATCGTGTTCATCCTTGCAATAGTCCTACAAACAAGCCTTCATGCTGGGAACATCTTTAAAGACCTACATCTTCTTAAAAGTCAGCTGTAAGTTGAAGGTATGACATTTCTTGAGGCAAGTTTTTTTTTTTTGTTTCAAGCTGGTTTTGCGAAGCTGCAGACTGCATCTTCCTCTAGGGTCCTCGATATATCACACAACACCTCAGAAGCAAGTTTGGCAGGCATAAAAAATGTCAAAGAATGAACTTTCTTAAATTTGAATGTTTTTTAAATGAATTATGTCCTTTCAAACGACATAAAACAACATAAAATTCCAATATCATCATATTTTGTAAAATAAAAAATGTGACGTAACAAAACCGCAATGACATACATTTCGACGAGTCAACTATACAATTAAGATATTTTAACGGATAGGCTGAACTGTGCTCTCAGGACATTTTCATAAAGGTAAGGTCAATTTACTAATTACAATTTCAGTTGGCTGAAACAATGGTTCAATATTTTTTATATTAACCTTTTAATTCCCTCCTCCATTTCATAATTGTTTTACTGTTTAAATCTTGCTGAAAAGCCTGTAACAAAATGCCCACTACTGGGTCAATGAGTTAAAAGAACTAACTTTTTTGGTGGAATGTTTAATAAAGTAAAAAAATAAATATTAAAATAAAATAAATCAATCAATAAAAAAGGTAAATAATCAAATTAAACATTTAAATAAACAATCAAACAGGTTAAATAAGTTGCATATTAATATTAAACACATTAAGAACATATTAAATATAGATATTTTGTAATAAAATAGATTTAATCTTTAGAATTTTTCATCTAAAATAAAATAAAATAAATGTGGCAAGGAGTCTCTTATGCTAACGAAGGATTTATTTAATTGATAAAGTAAAAACAGTATACAAATATTGTGGAATATTGTGAAATATTATTACTATTTAAAATAACTGTTTTCTATTTTAATATATTTTAAAATGTAATTTATTCCTGTGATGCAAAGCTGAATTTTCAGCATCACTACTCCAGTCTCATCACATGATGCTTCAGAAACCATTCTAATATGCTGATTTGTTGCACAAGAAAAATTCTTATTATCAATGTTAAAAACAGTTGTGCTGCTTAATAATTTTTGTGTAAAAACTGATACTGATGTTCAATTTGATGCATCCTTGCTGAGTAGATGTATTAATTTCTTTAAAAAAAAAAAATCGTATTGAGTGATCCAGACTAGTACAGACTGTCAACACCTATAGTTACCTGTGTAGTAGCAGTAGTCTGAATCTTCTTAACCTCTTTATCTTTGCCATCATCTGATTTCTCTGTGTCTGATGTTGTGCTGGTAACATCTGCAGTGCTCTTTACCCCAGAAACCCCTGGCTCCAGATCTACTGCCACGGTCTCTATCTGCCCCGGGCATTTAGACAGGCTTTCCCCTTCAGAGACATTAAAACCACTCAAAGCAGGCTGCAACTTAAAGCGGTCATCCTCCAAAGTCATTGGGTTAGCGTCCAACTCTTGCGAGCTCTTAGTCATGAGAGCCAGAAGCCCAAGGTCTGCACTAGAGCTTGTATGGACCTGAGGTTCCACTCCTGAGAGCGGAAGAGGTTCAGATGGTCCCATTTCAGGAAGGAGGTTTTCTCCCGAGCTGGTCGCCATCGTGCCAAAGAGGAAAGTGTTGTTGCTGGGAATGGCATCTTTTTCGTCAGCCAGGGTGATGAGAGGACCTGAGCTCTTGTCTTCTATGGTGGCTTTGGGTACCAGCACGCTGTTTACACTGCTGTTTAGCTTCTCCACTGCAGCCGAGTAGACGTTATCCAGAAGAGAGTCCACTTCCACCAAGCCTCCATTTTCTGTTACAGGCAGGAGATCCATGTCATCCATCTTCACCTCTGTGGCCTCAACCTTCTCAGCTTTGATATCTACAAGCAGGTCATGAGCTTCCACATGGACACCTGTTGCTGGGTTCTCCTCATCCAAACATTTCGTTTCAGACAAGAGGTTCCGCCCAGAATCTGTCGTCTCTGGTTCATCCACTTCACTCTCAGGAGTCTGAGTTTGGGAATCCGGGTCCAGCTCCAGAGTGCCTTTGATGGCCGAAGCCTGGGCAGAAAGGCCCGAAATGGTGCTGACAAGCCCCTTCTTCCCTTTCTTAATGTTCTCCTCTTCCTGTCGCTGGTATTCCTCATACATTTTAGCTAAATATTCCTTGTGAGCTTCATATGTCACCTGCCAAACATAGTTGTGACAAGTTTAGACTTCTTAAATACAAACTTTCTGAAATTTTGAGAATGAAAAAAAGGAAAAAGTTGTACCACTCTGACTATTATGATGCAAAAAACAAACAAAACTGATGTACATTTTTTAATTCAACTTTCACTGTTATGCTGTTAAAATTGTTATGCTGATAATATAATTTGCAATAAAAATGCAAGTAAGTAAATGTGGCCCCTTTTAATGCATAATCTATCTATCGAATTATTATGCTGATAATATAATTTGCAATAAAAATGCAAGTAAGTGAATTTGGACCCTTTTAATGCATAATCTATCTATCTATCTATCTATCCATCTATCTACCTATCTGTCTATCCATCGATCTATCTATCTATCTATCTATCTATCTATCTATCTATCTATCTATCTATCTATCTATCTATCTGTCTCTAGATATCCACATCAGTATTGGCCAATGAAAAAGCTCACAAGTTCAACCACTACACTGTTGTTCGGCTGGTGAAAACTATCTATTTACTTTGGAGTGGGCTATGGAGAGTGTGTCCACCCACACACGCCAGCCACCCCACTCGTGCTTGATGGCGTGGTAGAGAAGAATCCGGAAGATGTTGTAAACCATCTCAGTGATCTTCTGCTCCTCTGAGTTCTTAGGGTTAATGTAGCCGAGAGAGAACATCCAATCCTGCCAAACGGAGCACTGCAGCAGACACCTGTCACACAGAAAATGAGATGGATTAAGCTCGCGGCAGTCACTCGTGTTAAAACTTTCCTCTCCTCCGCAAACATCTTTTCTAACATCCTCAAACGACACTCAAAGCTGGAACCTAATTCACAAACCGACAAGTAACACAAAGCAATTTCAGCCCCAACCTCCATTAAACTTCAGATCTGTGAGGTAACGCTAAGAATGAGTGGCAGCTATTTGAATAACACCTGAAGCACTTGGTGTTATTCACAGTCATTTTTTCTCAGTGCATTGTGATATAATAAATGGATCTTTGACTGAAGCAGAATGAATTAAGCTTGCTCCTTTTGCTGAAACACTCCGGGTTGTAAGATTGCAGTAAGGATGATTTAATTTCGAACCAATCCCTACCAGCTAGTAAGTGCAAAAGCTACAACATGTAAACCATCGTTACAGGATTAGTTCACCCTGAAATTAAAATCGTCATAATTTACTCACCCAACTTTCCTTCAGTGGAACACAAAAGGAACGTTTTTGAAGAATTGAAACGGTTGCGTTACACTGAAAATTAATAGGGACTTCAAGGCTTTCAAGGGGCTTTACAAAAAGGTCCATTTTAATTCTGCATTATATTCAGTCTTTCAAAGACACTCTTATCGATTTGTGTGAGGAATAAACCAAAATTGAATTTGTTATCTACAGTAAATCTTGACATCTGCACTAGTTTTCCTTCATCAGTTCTTGAGCAAAGTACCAATGCCCAGCTTGTGAACAAACTCTTATTAAAACAAATATTTTCAATGAATCAGCTGAACTAGCTCACAAAACTGATCTGAGCTGCATTTCCTAAAAGCATCATAAGCAGATGATAGTAACTGCTGACACCGATGGTTTCTACGATCTAGTTTGGCTTAAAATGCTTTTGATAATTGCAGCTCTGAAAGATTCGTTCAAGAACTGGACTGATTCTTGACTCACTGACTCAATGATCTTTCACAGAATTAATTCACTGAAAGGGAAGATTATAAGTGGAAAACAACTTACTCACACAAATCTATTGAATGGCTTCAGAAGAGTTGTGTGAAACACTTTTATGGTGCTTCTGCATCCTTTTTGATGCTTGAAAGCCGTGTTCCCTATTCGCTGTAATTGCATGAAGAACAGTGTGCAGCACAGTCTTCATAATCATTTCTTTAGCATTTCACAGAAGAACGAAAGCCACTTGGAACAAAATGAGGATGTGTAAATAATGGCACTGTTTTTATTTCAGATGAACTATTCCATTATTAGCTAAGATAAATGTCTGGTCTAGTTACCAGACACTGTTTACAGATGTTTTAGGAAAGCACTTTGGAAACATAATGACTTCATCTAGTCTCAAAAGCTTTTTCCTTTCAGTTCTGAGTGGCTCACTGTAGACCTTAATGATGGAGATGATGAAACGTAGTAATAACAGCCAATTGAGATTTCAGCACACACTGGGTGACTGATTGACCTCCAGACTTGTGACGGCACAGAGGAGCACGCAGCAGAAGAAAAGGAAAACCAACAGTCATAGGACAGCAGCGAAATTGGTGTGGACTCGAATGTGTCACTGAAACATCTGCTGCGAGTGAAACACGGTGAGAATTCGAGGATTATTAAGCGCCACGGGGGTGCCCATTAAACACAACAACAAGGGAAAACGTCACTCTTTTTTCTGCTCTCTTTTCTTATCCGTTCACCAGGCGGTTAATTGCTGTCATGGGGGATGGGTCGAGAAAAGAAGAGACCCTCACCGTCTGTTCTCACGGCTGTTACTGAAGAGCTTGATCATGTCAGACAGGAAGAGACGCCGCACCTCCATCAGGTCCGTGCTGGGCGTGGAGTTCTTCAGCAGTGTGGCCACCACCTTAAGAATCACTGAGAACAACCAAAAGAAGAGCATGCATTAGTTCTGTCTGATTGGCACAGCTGCGAACCAATGAGCATGCCGTCTCACTAACTGACGCATATGAAACGGGCATCCCTGGCTAAAGTCTATGTGCAGAAGCAAACGTTTAATCATTCACTAGTAAACTTTTAACTTCCACAGATGACAGTAAGTGTATTAGCACCAGGCCACAAAAAGAATAAATGAGCTGACAGAAATAATTACTTGGGTTCTGGATCTTCACAGTAGAGTCGGGCTCAGCATGTGGCTTGTGGACGACCTGTGTGCAAACCTGCTCTGTCAAAATCTAGACAGGAAACGGATCAGATGAGACTCATGAATGCATGGAAACGGGTAAATACAGCATAAATCAGCATGAAATGAATATGAAACTTTCCAGGAATAGATTAAGCATCACTTATGAAGATGGCTTAAAATCTGCAAAAATCTGTTAATGTCAACTGACTCTTGCAGTTAACTACTAGCTAGAAACAGCACATTATGGAGCTATTTTTTAACATGCTAAATTTTTTTAAAGAAAAATCATGTGAAGACACTTACAATGTTAAAAAAAGTACATTTAAAATTCATATTCATCAAAGAATCCTGAAAAATATATATGGTTTTCACAAAAATAGTAAGCAGCACAACTGTTTTAAATATTGATAATAATAAGAAATGTTTTAAGCACCAAATCAGTATATTAGAATGATTTCTGAAGGATCATTTGACTGAAGACTGGAATAATGGCTGCTGAATTTTCAGCTTTGCCCTCACAGGAATAAATTACATTTGAAAAAATATTAACATAGCAAACATTTATTTTAAATTGTAATAATATGTCACAATATTACTCTTTTTACTGTATTTTTGATTAAATAAAGGCAGCCTTGTTAAGCATAGCAGACCTATTTTTTTTAAAAAGTGTAAAAAAATATCGTAATTTAATATAATTTTTGAACATTAGTTTATATAATATAACTTAAAATATAACTTAACATTTCTGAATGTTAGTTTATATAATAAAACACTAAGGACACACATTTTCATTAAAATATATTTTACATTTAAAACACATTCAACGTTTTACATTTCAATAAAATACCCATATATATATATATATATATATATATATA